TGCGATCGTAACGCCCCGGGGCTCGGGCTTGTACTTATAACGTATATTATATACGGGCTCGGGAAAGTCAGCCGCTTCGAGGGACTCGGGCGTCTTGAAAATGTGGTACTCGTAAATCTCGCCCGAGATTTTGGTGACGGCGTCGATAAGGGCCTGGGTCTCGATTGGGATGACTTGTCTTCGGAAACGCTGACTCCAGACCCTCTCGACCGGGAGGATCCACGGATCGTACTTCACTGAGAAGATCCGGTTTTTCCACCCCCGGTTGTTCCCGGGCAGCCCCTCGATCGAGCATTTGTCCGCTCGGGATTGTATCATCAGAAATCCTCCCCCATGCGCAGCCGCCAGCACCTTCACTTGGTAGACGAAGTTGAAGAGCTCCATCGTGCCGACTGCAGATCTGGGGAAAGCAGGCGATGATCCGGTGCGCGTTCGGGCAAATCTGCCCGGGCATAACCTGGTAGTAGCCCAGGAATGCAGTAAGGAGGCTGGAAAAGGGGAACGTGATCGGGGCCATTAGCGAATCATAATGCATCCCGATCCATTTCCCCTGGTGCCGCTCGATGATGTTTCCGAGCTGCCTGCTGGTGTCGAACTCGACCCGACCAGCGATAGTTGTCGCGATCCTACTTGCTTCTCCCTTTGTTAGCAAGCTCCTTTGGCCTTCGACGTTTTCACTATTGAGGAACTCAAACCTGTCCCCGCTCGGTGGCGCCGGCCCGGTCGGGTCCTCTTCATCCGCTTCGGCCTCGTTGGCCCGGTCTCCGCCCTCAGGCTCGGCTCGAGGGTAATCCCCTATTACCCTCGTAGGCGTTTCCCTAACGCCTTCGTCCGGGAGGTTTCGTCCGCTCGTGGACGTTTCTTCGCTCCCCGACCCGCTGGAGCTCGACCCCGAGGTCCCTGACGAGCTTGATGACCCTGCTGGCTCGGGGGCTTGGTCGGGAGTGGGCTGTGGTCGTTGTTCGACCTCTGGGGAGTAGGACATAATGTCCACCTCCTCGCTGCTGTGCTCGATTGTGTTGTCGTAGTCTGCGATCGAGACGTTCTGGCTATCCGAATCCGACATATTATCTACCTAAAGGTCGGTCGGGGTTAGTACAGGGGTCGTGAAGTTAGTTCAACGTTAGCTTTATCCTACTCCTACGCAGAGCTAAGAACAAAGTAAAAGCTAAGGGATCAAGAGCTTACCGATTGTTGGTATTTGAAGAGAACTTGAAGCGTGGCTTTGCTCGACTGGATCGCTGAACTGCTGCTCGGGACTCTCTGAGGGTACCGACTGCTTCAGTGGATTGAGGAAAGATCAAATGGAGGCCTCAAGGGCCTATTTATAGGAGAACTTTTAGGCGGGAAACCAATCCACTTGCGTGACACGACCCGCACTGATTCCGAGGCCGGCAGTGGCCGACACGTGGTGAGGGAAGGAATGACAGCTGGCCGGTCGGTTTGGTGGTTGACGGTTGGGCTTTTACATCCCGTCCCGTTTTTTCCCGGATGGTCAAAAAGGCCCGGGCTGGGGGGCTTTTGGTAGGGAATATCCCGACCGACATAAACTCCACCACGACCGGATTGCCTTTGTCTTTGTCTTTCTGTCTTTGCAGGTAACAGGTCGGGCTTTTACGAAGAACCCGGTCGGGAAGGAACCGGGAATTGCCCGAGTGATGGTGTCGACCACCGAGCGGTAGCCCTTCGGCGGGAGAGCTGACAAAGGACACGTGGCGGCTCTTCACGACGACAGGCAGGGCACCCGGGAGGATGACACGTGGTGGCTACGTGGAAGACATGCCGAACGGCTGGAATCCTGTCCCCGGCATAGCGGCTATAAATACCCACAGTAGCTACAGTGTAGAGGACTTTTGGACGATCGATAGGTTGTTGTTAGAGAATCCCGACCGCACTCAGTCGGTACTCAGGGCAACCAAGTAGATTGTACTTAGGGCCTTTACCGTGATCAATAAAGTCTTTTATTTGCTTTAAACGGTCTCGGGTATTTTATATTGCTTGCGTATAATTAGCAGTATCAATTATCCTACTTATACTATATATATAACTGTTCCCATTTTGATCACCAACAAAACATTCACTCATCAATTTGCTTTCAATTCCCTCTCGCACTAAATCATCTCCTTTACAATTTCAAGCCCTTTTCATTCCACTGACCAATCTGTTTTGATATATACATAAAAGATGGCGGGTGGTGTGAGAGAACACCGACATGGGCGATCGCAGTGATGTGTTTTGTTTTGGTTGCGGTTTCGATTGTAATTGAGTACATCATCCATTTTATAGGAAAGGTTATTGGTTTTGCCAAATATGATACTGTTCATATTATCATCCATCTCATAGGAAAGGTTATTTGTTTTGCCATATATGCTACTGTTCTTCATATTATCATCCATCTCATAGGAAATGTTATTGGTTTTGCCATGTATGCTACTATTCTTCATATTATCATGGAATAAGGTCCAAATTGGCCACTAAACTTAACTGAAGATGCAATCAGACCACTGAACGAAAATGCAATTAGGTCATGGACACTCCAAAAAAGTACAATTAGGCCATGAACACTCCAAAAAAGTACAATGGTCAATTTTGAACCTTATTCCTATTATCATCCATCTCATAGAAAATGGTATTGGTTATGAGATGGATGATGTACTCAATCACAATTGAAATTGCAACCAAAACAAAACACACCATTGCGATCACCCATGTCAATGTTTTCTTCAGCGATTTACCTCCTCCACCACCAGCCATTATTATTATTATTATTATTATTATTATTATTATTATTATTATTATTATTATATATATATATATATACATACATATATATATATATATATATATATATATATATATATATATATAATCACTTCTCTCTCTCCCTCCATCTCTCTTCAAGGAAAAGTGCATCTTGTCTCCTCCAATGGTATCCATCAATTGCACATTTTCATCTTCGCTTTGGTTGTTTTTCACGTTCTCTATTGCATTATTACTTTCGCCTTAGGGAGTGCCAAGGTAAACCCATCCCACAAGATTATCAAAATTTTCTACAATCTTGATGGATTACCAAAAGTTTACCTAAATTGTCATTTTAAAAAAATTAAAATTCACTTCTTGTTGACGATTTTAGATAAGAAGGTGGAAAGCAAGGGAAGAGGAAACAAAAACAATGGATCGGAATACCAATTTACTCACGGTAAAACTCAATTACTTATTAAGAGAGATTCCGATTTGCTAGAGAAACATCACACAATTTTTTTTTCTCTCACATTCTCTTTCTTAATCATGGTAAAAAAAAATGTATGTTTTTTTAAAAAAAATAAAATAAAATTGTGTGATGTTAGATCCAGAGAAATTCCGATTTGCTAGAAACATTGTTTGAAAGAAGGCATTTGAGTTTTTGGACAAAGACGCTCATTCATCTTTGGATGGTAAGCATTATTCAATCATTGAATTGAATCTACGGTACAGATCATATGCATGAATGTATAATACATGAAAAATATTACATGCACTCTCATTTCTTACTCTCAATTTTTACGTTCTCTTACAAATTTTTGATGTAAACACATTCTTTGGGACCCACATGATAAAAATAGTCAATCTTTGTTTGTCATGTCATGAAGTAAAGTGAGGGAATAGAATTTGAGAGCACATATAGTAGAACTTATAATACATATACGTGAATATATACATATAGATTACGTACAGAGTTGTATGTATATGTGATTGCGTGATACAGTTCATGACTAAAGAGTCGTATATGCATATCACGCATGCATCGTCTCTTGATTTCTGGCAACTTGCCAAAATGATGGCTTGTTTGGACCATTCCTTAGACTAATGAATTAATGATTGAAATAATCAATGATAAATAGTAATAACTGGCAAAGGATCTTGTGATCTACTGGCACTAAGTTTCTACTTGTAGTACTTAAAAAACAAAACTTAATAACGGAAATGAGCTAAAAGATATATAGGAGCCTATAAATAGGTAGGGTTCTTTTTATTTATTTATTTTTTAAAATAAACCATAGATTAATAAAGGTTCGAAGACAACACATTACAAAGATAGAAGAGAGGGTTAGAAAATTACTCCGCACAATCAAACGTAGAAACGGACTGCTTAACTACCGGATGAGCTGCCCGATTCGCTGACCGTTTTGAAAACGATAAAAATACATGAGAAAAACAACTCAGTAGATTATTTATATCCTTGATTACTAAGCTAAAATTAGACTCCCCTTGATTGTGTTTTAAGCTTTGAACCACTTTGAGAGAATCAGTTTCCACATGCACCCTCTCTAAATGTAATTCTTTTATCCAGCTTATGTAATTCTTTTATCCAATTTAGGGCTTCCCAGATCGCAACTGCCTCGGCTTCTCTTGGAGTGAATAATCCGATCCACTGAATTTCCTTCGAAGCAATAATTAAACTAACCAGTTTCATCGCGTATAACACATCCAAAACCCATCCTTTCACTGCCTTGTTTATAGCCGCATCCACATTCATTTTGAGAAAACCATGTTGAGGTTTAGTCCAGCTACCCTCATCGCTTCTTGTCATTGTCTACACATCATTGGTCAGTTTGACTTTAATTAAGACAACTAATTTCCCTGTTCACATCGAACATCGGTCGGTTTGACTTTAATTATTTTTTATTTTACCTTATCTAAAAGTTTTAATAGTTCAATTTACTTAAATGATTTTATTTTTTTTATTAGTATATATATGGGTGTGTGGTTTATTTAATTAAAAAAGAAAAAAATCTACAAGCTCATTTGGCACCTCAAAGCCAGACCAAATTTGATTTTTTAGAAGTATATCAAACAATCACTTGAAGTGAATATTTTTTAAGGAAAAGAAATGGTCAAATATGTCTTTAAATTATTTATGAAGTGTTGGCGTCAAGAAATAAATTGAGAAGTAATTACACATGCTGAGAATATTAGGCACAAGTAATTATGTTTTAGTTTTGGTCTTTTCCATATCCATAACTATAAGGCTCAAGAAAGTCTTTCCTGGCCGGGCCACTAGCCACTCAGATTGGAATTGTCTCCCCAATGATGCGTCGCACCTCCTTAGCGAGGTCAGTAACGTGTTTGTCTTCACACCCTACTTTAATCAAACAATGGAACATCACAAAATTTACACACAATATTCAACTCTATCTATTCCATTTTATTCTCATATTTATTATTTTATTATCCATTGCTCTTTTTTCCTTTCTTATTTTCTTTAATATTTCTTTTTTTTTTAAATTTAAATTTGTGTTTAATAGTAATTTTGATGTAATTTCTAAATATATAAATTTTATATATTAATACTTAGCTTAATATTATAAAAAAATATTAAATTATAAATTAAACAATTTTACATTTTTGGTCATCCAGTTATACTCATGGTACATATTGAGTTATATGCATAATCATTTTTAACCCCTAAGTTATGCACAAAGTGGTGATTTTAGTCTCTGAATGACCAAATTAACTATTTTATTAAGCAACATATTAGTGACAGAAATATTCCTCAATGGACTAAAATTGCCAATTCGTGCATAACTTAAGGGTTAAATATGGTCGCGCATAAAATTATTCAAGAACTAAGTCAGTACCATGTGTATAACTGAAGGGCTAAAATGTAATTTTTCCTATAAATGATTTCAGTAAAATTTTGTTAGGTAAATCAAATACATAACATGAGATGGGGGATGTAAACCATACCACCCAAACATAAGACAGGAAAAAATGGCAAGAAATAAAAATAAGAAATATGAAGTGATTAAAAAGTGCTATGAGCTCCCCTAAAGAAAAGAAAAGAAAAATTTAAAAAATAAAATTAAATGCATTAATTTACTGGCCTGTCCATTAAAAACTAATAAACTATCCTCCAAACTATATTTTGGGCTGTCCAGCAAAAGTTGTTATTTAATAATTCATTTGACTAAAAATTCGAAATAAAATACTTATACATTCAATACTCCTAACACACTTAGGCAACATTTGGTTCATGGGTATTTTCCAATTTTAAACAATACTCCTAACACACTAAGCGCACCCCCTAATTATTTTCCAATTTTTTTTTTTTTTAGGAAAAGTATTTTCCAATTTTAAAATACCATAATTGAACATTTAGCACTAGTTCACTTTCCAGTTTGTAAGCATTCGGGCTATAACTTTTGAATAGTTGTGTTATAGTTAATGAACATTTTAGCATTAGAATCATAGAGACCATTTGTGTTATAGTTGGTGATTATTCAATTTCACATTTCATATAAACTTTATATTAAATGCCCTCCATTATTTCCACTTGCCTTTCAGTTTTAGTGAAAATGTACATTATGATTACTGAGCATGGTACACTACAGAATTTGCTAAAAAGGTGTAAAAGTATAGAAATGGAGGGATGAATGGTGAGTGAACACCTTACCTATCAGACCGAGCGCTTTCTCAAGTTGAAAAAGGTAATCTCTGTTCGGTCCAGAAGGCCCTTCAGCACGAACGATTTGACTGCATGATAGAACACAAGTTTAGAACACATTTGATTTGCAGGTAACTCACAATCTTAGCAGTTAGCAGTCAATGTTAAAGGGTCAGATACTATGTTATGTTCTATTGTTCTCCTTAATGTTTGAAATCAAACTGTTGTTGGCTTGTGGCTACATTGTTAAACAAGCAGCTAAGTACCTAAGTTCCTCCAGTGATAAAGTTAATTCTCAGAGTGAATCTACTTTTCAACCCTATATGATCAAAGTAGATAAATTCAAGCAATGCAATATAGCAATGAAACAATTTGGTATACCAAGGAAAGTGGGCATCATAATTTAAGGTGGTTTAGTCCATAGATGGCCTAGTCCACATGCCCTGTTTGGTAAATGTCTGATAGCTGATAGTTGTTAGCTAATTGGGTTAATTAGAGGGTATAACTAGTTGATAACATTAGCTGATTGTAGAAAGGTGTTTGGTAAATTAGCTATTAGCTGATAGCTGTTTGGTATAATTTCCTTTCTCAAAAAGCTAATTGAAAAAATTGTTTTGAGCAGCTTTTTGAATTTTAGCATTTTGGAATTACAAAAAGCTAATTAACCAAACATTGATATTTTAACCAAATCAAAAAAGCTAATAGTGGTCAAATAAGCCAAAATTGGCCTATAGGCTAACTATTTTACCAAACAAGATATAGCATCTAAAACACACACAAATCCTTTGTTGATTAGGATACTCACAATTTTCCAAATAGCTATGAATCGGATTTTAGGACCTCCTTCTCTTACACAACCAAATTTCTCAGAAGAACAATAATTTAGATACAATACACGTTTTAGTGTCATCTTGAAAAACAAGTGTACAAAGAAGGGCAATAAAACCGAGGTGTTTCAAATGTAGGAATAAAATAAGAGAAACAGATGGAGGTTTAACTACACACTTCGCTCAACAACCAAAGTGACCAAAACTATGCTGAGCGTTAAGGAAATTTTAAAACTGAAAAATGGAGTTTCAATTTTACTCAAAAATCATTTTCGCATTTTAAAAGGTTATTTTGGATATACAATTGAGCTTAACACAAGGAAAATCAACATCCATACTTCAAAACACAAAATTAGGTTATCTACTAAAGTATCTGAATAAAAATGATCTACTTAGAAACTGAAGGTTTCTTAAGTGGAGTGAATAACCTATCACATTTAACAAATCATTAATCACATTATTTATTAGAATCAAAACCAATACTATTAGGCATTCATGCCAACAAGACAGAGTGTGTGTGTGTGTGTGTGTGTATCTAAGCTCACTCGTAATTAAGTTAGGACAATGACAACAAATGGAACTTATTAACCTAAAACTATTAATTCTATAACAGAATTCCTAAGTATATAGTTCAGTGAAAAGAGAATTATCACAGCTTAAGAAACATGCTTCATAATGTACTTCAATAAATTAAAGATGCTATGGCTATTCTTTAATGAACCAAAATAAAATCACATTGGTAAATGGTAATGAATACTTAAAATTTTAACAAACAGATTATACCAAATCATGTTGGGAAATTTCGAATATACACCCAGAAAAGTTGATTAAAGACAGTCTCACTGAAAAACATGCTTCATAATGTATATAGTGTAGAAATTACAAAAATACCTGGCAATTTCTTCAATTGATGCAGGCCCCAAGTAATTTTTGTTGATTGTCTTGTCCGGAGATGCTACATATCTAAATAGTGAGATCAGTTTTCGGAGGTGAAACATAAGCAATAAACCATGTAAAATCATGCAATCCATAGCTGATAGCACCTTTTAACAACTTACACCAGTACATCAGAAACGGCTGGAGTTGAAGCTTTTAAATCCTGAATACAAGTTAGTACAATGTTCTGAGATTAAAATTTACTAGTAGTACATAAAGAAAAAAACAAAAAAAGTGCAATCTTCTTTAGTCTTACAGTGAAAAGATCCAAATAGGCCTTCTTGTCATACTGCTTTTCCCTCACTTCAAGATACTGAATGCATCCAAAGAAAACAGAAAAAACAGTTGTCATTATGCATAGTGAAGTTCATCAAAGCTAAATATTGTAGTAAAGGGATAAATACTAATACATATTCAACTCCTAGAACAACGTTCACTGTTGTAAAAATCGGCCTAGGCAGGGCCGAGGCGCCCATGGCCGTTCCGCTTTAACTGCTAGGCGGCGAAATCGGCCTAGGCAGGGCCTAGGCGCCCATGGCCGTTCCGCTTTAACTGCTAGGCGGCGAAATTGGTCAAAATCGGCCTAGTTGGTCAATTTCGTCCGATGTCGTCTGGTCCAACCGTCCGTAGACTAGTTTGATACTTTGAGTCTTTGGATGATTGAAGTATTTGAGTATTTTTATTTTTTTAATATTGTTTTGATGTTATAACTTAAGAATTATCATTATTTCATTTATTTGGATGTGTTATTTGATTGAATGTTGAAAACAACCTCTTTAAAATTGGCAAACTCCACTATTTTTTTTGCGCCCACCTAGATTCCACCTAGGCGCTAGGCGCTGCCCGGGCGCCCGACTAGCGCCTAGCGCCTACTACAACCATGACAACGTTTAGTGTAGATGTGCAGTTCTATTTCGATTATGCAAGAAAACATATTTCTTGTAAGCAACCCAGTTGCAACTGATATAATTAAAAATTAGAAACGCTAGCATAAATTAAACCAATTTTCAGAGGAGGCACTACAAAAGAAGACGTCACTCAAAGGTATAAGAACCTTGTGAATTCCTCAGAGAGGCTGAAGATATAGCATGACTATATTAAGAGACTAGCGAAAGAAATCATTAGTTCTTTACTGAGAAGCGAATGGAGTATACTCCTTTTAGTCATCTTTCATCAGTTTGATTCTACTTTACTTTCTTCATCTAATCATAACATTGTTGTTAAGGCCTCGTCTAGGTGACGCCTTGGCATCCGGTAACGAGCTTGCCTAAGTTGAAATGGGTGATACGAGCTCAAGCATCACCTAGGCATCTTGGATGCCTAACCCGGTACACAAAACCCGGGTCCGACCCGGGTTTTATTTAAAAATAAATAAAAAAAATTTTGGTCAATTAAAAACCCTACTAATACGTAGCTGAGAGCCTGAAACGCTGACTCCCCGCTCCTTGCCTCACCTTCGACTTCCACCGCCAATCACCACCTATCGCCGCCACTCCCAAGTAACCTTCTTTCTTCTTGGTTGTTCTTTTTTCTTTTTCCTTCCGCTTTCTTCTTCTTTCTTAGTGGTTATGTTTTTTTATTTGTTATATAATATACTTATAATCTTTTATATAGGTTGTGTTTTGTGTTGGTGAAACACCAATCAATAGCACAAGGTAGTCACTATGACATGATAAACCTAGACAAATATTAGAGAAAAGTAACCCTGGTATAGCCTTAACTTGAATACCAGGATTTGAAAAGACTATATCTTAATCACAATGCACTTAGTAAATCGCACCAAAAGAAACAACATTTATTTGAATAACAATCCCAGGAAGAGGTTGAGACTTGAGAGCAAAAGATCCAAGTTAGAAGATAGCTTTCTAACAACTTAACAATTGTATTCCTATGAAGCTATATAACACCATAAAAAAGGTGATGAACAATTGCATATTTGAGAGTAACATATACATCTCTGAAAAGCTTAATATGAAATAAAGAAGAAAATCACAAGCAATTCGCACTGACTTGCACATTAAGATGACTGAAAATAAAAACTAAAATAAACAACAGTTTTTAGAATGCAAAGACATACCGTTATCGCTACTTCTTGATCTTCCTTTTTAGTTATCTTGTAGGCAATACCCCACTGAAAAAAAATACCATATTGAGAATGAGTAGGTTACCATCAGAAGAAGGGGAAAAAAAAAAAAAAAAAACCCTTTATATAACCAAAGCATAAAGCATGGAAAATGGTATAATTAATACATAAGGATGTGCAGTGTAGCATCTGAAATAAAGAAATTCATATTCATATACACCAAATAACAGTGGTATTAGATTATGAAAAATTATCACGGAATATAGAATGTTTATTGCATTTAGAAATCAGTATAATTGAACTTCGGTCAGATTTTGAAGCTCAAGGATATAAGCATAGTTTTATTTTAGTAATACACAATAATATAAAATGGGGCCAATTGCATCATGAAAAAAAATGAATACACAATAGTACAAATTTTAAAAATAAAAAATCAAACCATTGCAAAGTGTCATAATTTTGGCCAATGAACCAATCCTTTTTTTTTTTTGACAATTTTAGCCAAGATTTTGACTATTGTTACAACTTACAATTGTGGCCAAAGTTAATTCTGGGTAAAAACTAATTTGTGGGTCGCTGATGCGGATGGTTGCAAGGAACATTTAAGAGTAAACTATCCCACATCAGTCATTTTAACCACAATTTCTGAAACTAGCCCTTAAAATTTTGAAAAATAAAAATAAGGAATCACCAACCTGATTTTTCAGGAAACACTACTAACACCATCATCAGACTGAACACTGAAGATGGGTAGAAGAATATCTAAATTCACATTTATCTTACTTTAGGTTAAAAGAACACAGCTCACCTGCAATACCTTCTTGTTTCAAATTCTGCTTTATCCTATTGGGGATTAAGGCCAATGGATGAGCTTGACTTCAACTTATCTCCTACTATAAATATTTATGTATGTTTTTAGGCAGTTAAAACACTTATAAAGGCTATCTACAGATATAAGTGCTTATGATGATCTTTTATAGTGATTAGAGAGGTTTATGAAAAGATCTGCTGATACATCTTTCCAGAAGCAGTTAAAACACTTATAAAGGCTACCTACTGCTATAAGAGCTTATGATGATTTTTTTTTTATTGTAGCTAGAGAGGTTTATGAAAAGATTTTATAGCATTTGGAAGTTGTTTTGAGCTTATGTCCATAAGATATTTCAAGAAACTTATCATAAAAAAAAAAATAATAATAAAAAAAAAAAAAAAAAAAAAAAAAAAAAGAGCTTTTCAAAGACTAATTGAAATGGTAAACCCATAAAAAGCCATGTGTGTTTGTTTGGTCCAAGTGCCCAACTGGACCATACTGAACTAGGCTTGTTTGAAAAGTCTTGGGTCCTCAACCATATAACTTCTTGAGAAAAAGGTTTTTCACCTGCTATTAAGCTCCAATAAGTCAATTTGAGCTTAGTGATTGACTTCTTTTTTCTACTGCACTATTTATTCCTTTTCCATTCCTTAAATTGCCCAAATTATGGAATACTATCCCTAATGTATTCTCTTTTAGGTACCAAAAACTGGAACAAAACAAATCAAAGCACACAACTTTGCTAATTTTTCACCTTCATACTATCATACGTCAGTATTATATTCCATAACATCATCTTTCCACAAATATGCTCAAAACTATAGGAATTTTGATCAAATTGTGAATCTTCTGTACTGATTACATTATTCAATCGCATTATCCACTGCACCATAGACTGATGCAGCTTAATTATCATCACGACAGAAAAACAATTTTTTTTTTGAAATTCTGAAAAAATAGAGCGAAACAAAAGCTTGAACTCACGCAAACCTCCCCATCTGCAGGCTCCAATGTGACCGTTCGACCCGGGAATTCAGGAGTTCCTCTGTGATCGGTACTGCCTTGGTAGAAGACGCGGCGATAGCCCTTTATGAAACCCACGAGGCAATCGTCGTAATGGAAACCCGGTTTCCATATTAGCGACCCGTATCCGAACACCCACATCACCATCACCAAATCCCTCCTGGGTCCTGGCGCTCCCCGAGACTGATCGCTAACCCAATTTGAGACTTGAGAGAGGTGAGGAGACTAGAGAGGGAGACTCGAATTGGAAATTGGAATGTAGGAAGGCTATTCATTGGCCACGACTCAGCCAGTGAGAGTGGCACAAATGGAGAATGGTGTGTACGTACTACGTGGAACGTGGGAAATTCTAACTTTGTAAAATTGTGTTTTATGCTTTATCAGACTATATAAAGATTGGGGTAACACTTATGTGAAACTGCCTCACCGACGGGTCAAGTCAATATATAATGTAATATTAGATGATAGCTGATTGTGTTAATTAGAGGGTATAAATAGTTGATAACATTAACAGATTGTAAAATAAAATGTCTAGTAAATTAGCTGTTTGATATAATTTCTTTTCTCAAAAAGTCAATTGATAAAGTTATTTAGAGTAGTTTTTTGAATTTTAGCCTTTTGGAGTTGCAAAAAGCTAATTAATCAAACATTTATATTGATATTTTAACTAAATCAAATAATTAATAGTGATCAAATATGCCAAATAAGCCAAAAATATACCAAGGACCTTGTGGTCCAATAGTATCTGGTTACTCCACTAAGTGAGAGGTGATAGTTTCAAGCTTCAATGAAGGCGATTAGTAGTTTGGGTATTTCCCTTTCCTTTGACCTATAGGCCAATTTTTTACCAAACAGGACCATTAGGAATAAACTTTTACATCCTCTGATCTAGTCCTCTACTATAATAATAATAATAAAATAAAATAAAAATCACAAGCTTTTGGTAAATAAAAATTTTTTAAAAAAAGAAAAGTTCTCGCCCATTAGAAAAGACGGTGTTTCACGTATTGGCTGTAAAAAAAAAAAAAAAATTAATGGCTGCATTTCGCGTCTTGGTCGTTAAAAAAATTAATTGGAGCGTGAACACCGTCCAGAAAATGAAGATTAAAAACCAAAAGTTTTAGGATTTATTACGGCATAGTAAACACTATTCTGCTTTTCCCATAGAGATTAAATATGCAGTATTTAAGGTGTCGTATGGACTTCCCATTAAAAATTGTGGGAAGCGTATCGTTCTGTTACACTGCCAGCGTAAACAAAGAGCTATATAACACTCATATTCTATTTGAATACAAATAATTGTGAAAGCTAATCCTTTCCGTTTAACTAATTTTGTGTCGAATTAACTCTTTCTCTCTAGCTCTCTTTTGCGAGTATTTTCTTCTCCAAGTGTGAGTCTCTCTTCGTTGTGATTTTGTCCGTTTTCTGCTTTGCTGTTTTGTCAATGGAATTTGAGAGTGTTATGAACTCGATGACTACTTTATCCTTAGCCGTTCTTGAAGATGAAGATGCCGTTCACCACATCCGGAACGTTTCGCTAGGCTCGGTGGGTGGAGAAAACGAATACTATGCTGTTGGCCGGTTAGTGACAGACAAACCGATGAAGTTCCTCTTCTTCAAGGATACTTTGGCATTGATCTGGATGCTGGCGTTCAGGATGAATGCAAAGGAGTTACAAGGGCGACGGTATTTGTTTCGTTTCTATGATGAGGATGATATATCATGTATAATTGAAGATGGCTCCTGGGCTTTTTAGCATAGTCTTCTTATCCTCAAACGGGTTACCTGTGACACCCCGAAATCCAAATTCAATTAAGGGATTAATTAAGTAATTAATCCTATTTCAATTTGTAATTTAATTCCTTAAATTCCTGAAATTTAATAGTTGGGGACTAGTAATTGACTAGTCAACCCCAAAGTCAAAGTTGTACATTGAGCTTTGTAAGGAGTTCCCTTGTTGCTTACACTTCCTTATGTTAGTAAGGGTATTCTTGACCTTTCACTTGGTGTTAGTATTGTAACCTAACCTAGTAGACCACCTTCATTCTTTCCTTACACTTTCTAAAAATCTAGTTCCACCTTCTCTCTAAAAAGGTGGGTAGCTTTTCTTCCAAGCCAAGTTGGAGCCTTGCCAAAACTTCAAGAGTTGCTTCCAAGATTCAACCTTTCATATATTTGGGCATCTAGGAGGGTAAGATCTAAGTTCATCGTGTGTTGTTGGTTTTATCTTAGGTGTCTTTTCTTAAAGATAGGATCTTTATGATCTTTTGGTATGTTCTTGAAGTGGGTTTGGAAGGTGAGCCTTGAGAGGAGCTTGTTGAGGTGTAAAGTGAAGTCTTTAGTCTACAAGAGGTAACCCATGCTCTACAAAATCTATTTTTGCTTACCTATATGATGATTTCTTGGATTCTACATGTGTTTTGCTATGAAATGTGAGTGTTTACGCATTGTCTTGTGAAAATGCATATCTAGAGCTTGTGTTTAGGGTTCTTGTATGCCATTGCTTGGCTATTCCTTTGATTCAAGTCATTTTGTTGTATTTGGTGAGATTTGGCATGTTTTGGACTTGAATTTGAGTTTGGAGAGAAAAATCCCCGAAGAGATTATTTTGTACAGGGTTACGTACCCGCGGGCGGAACGGCGGGCAGGCGGTCTACCCACCGCCTACCCGCGGGGTACAAAGGCTTCGTGGGTTGGTACCCGCGGGCGGAACCGCGGGTAGGGGTCTACCCGTGGGTCCACCCGCGGGGTACACTGTGGTGATTGGCGGGGATTTGTTCCCCGTGATTATTTTGACTCGGTATTTGGTCTTTTGACTTCCCGATGTTCTTTCGTGGAACCATTTGACTGTCTTCTTGATGTTTCGTATGTCTAGAACTATATGGTAGGTATCCATGTAGGTCTTGGTGTCTTGAATCGTGCTAAGTGTTCAACATTGTGTTTCGTTGAACCGTGATGAGTCTTGTGTGTTCTTCGGAACTACGTTTGGTTTACCCGTTTGATAAACATGCTAGTTCGGTGCTTAAATGCTAGCGTGTGTGTTGTTTCTACCTTCCTATTGTTGATGATGACTTGTGTTATTCATCGTTGTTGTTGTTGGACTGTGATCCATTCCTTGATTGAGTATGGTTTCATATCTTCGTTGTGATCCGTTGATTGATTCGTGTTGTGGTGTGACGTGTGTGTGGCTTTACCTGGATTGCACGGTTAGTGGTATGGGACACTAGTCACCAAGGTATTGCAATGGTCCTCGTGGTGGCCATGACGCGATTATGGAGTTTGTGACCTGAGTGATGGGTTCACGTATTTCTTGGGTGGCATATGTTGCCGTGTGTGTGTACGGTACCCTCGTGTACTATGAAATCGGTGGTTTTGTTGGCGGTTTGTCGGCGGATGGGGACGACGGTCCTCGGAGGGAAAAGGTTGGACTTGGTGTACAGGGGTCCTGGAGGTAATGGTTGGAAGAAGATACAAGGTTGGGGGTAGCCATAAGGTTGGAACCGGGCATAAGGAAGGCATATCAACTCGTGATGGGTGATGTCACGAGGGCTTATGTAGCCGTTGTTGTGAATTCTCTTCTTGTGACGTGTGTAGTCACATGAGCAAGTGTTGCCTCGGCATGTGTTGCCGTGGGTGAGTCTTATTCCTTTGCGTAATGCATGTCGGGTTTTGATCTATTGTGTGATGATAGATCATACCTTGAGACTTCTTGTGAGTCGTGTTGTTCTTTGTGGTCTTGGGATGTGTTCCCGTGTTCTTGTTGAGAGTGTTGAGTCTTGTGTTGACTATTACTCTTGGTTTTGGACTTATATATATGTATTCTGTTTTGAAAATGGCTTTACAAACTTATATCTTATCTATGTATGATATTTCACATGTATTGGTGGGTTACCAGCATTATTCGCTTACCGGGCGTCGTCCCATATTTTATTGTGTTCTTTCAGGTGGTGCCTAGACGAGTGCGCGGTCTAGTGCTTGCTAGAATAGCTTATCCCTTTCGTTTTGTGGCCTGTGTGCCAGCTTAGATATAGAACTTTGAGACAATGGGTTTAGATGTAAACATTGCAGATGTTGCCGGTGCGTTCATCCTTTTGGTGAACGTGGCATAACACCCCGTGTTCCGGATTATGTCTATCTATCTATCTTTCAGTCTTCCGCCGTGTTTGTTGTTTAGTTCAGTTATCTGCATGTTTAAGGCTTTTAAATAACATGTTTTTAAGGGGTGTTACATTACCCCTTGCGGAAGATCCAAACTCTATATGCTTGGAGTATGCTGAGTTTTGGATTCAAATACATAATCTTCCGACAGGTTTTCGATCTGACGATGTGTTGTAGGCAGTCGGGGGTTTCATCAGTAGGGTTGTCAAGTTGGACGAAAAGAACTTTGATGGAACCATGCATGTCTTCTTTCGCATACGGGTGGAGATCGATGTCTCGAAGCCGCTCAAAAAAGGTATGAAGCTAAAGAAGGATAATGGAGAGTGGTTCCAGGTAGATTTTTGCTACGAACAGCTTCCAACTTTCTGTTTTCTATGTGGGGTGTTGGGGCATGGAGACAATTTCTGTCCTAAGGCCGTTCGTGGTGGAGATTCCCTTGCAGGAGGTCCGACCTCCCTGAGAAGAAAAATCCTCACGGGGTAAACCGAATTGGGGCTCGACAAGGTAGGTCGAGTAGTGCTCGACATAGGTAAGCCGAGCTAGGCTCGGTGGAGACCAACTAAGTGGGGGGTCAGCCACGGCTCGTCTTTCCTAGGGGTTTTAGCGAACTGAGCTTTCGGTACACTACTCGTGTTCGTGTTCGGTAAGCATTCGTTTATGTTCGTTTATTAAGGTAAACGAACATTAATAAACAAAATTTAGAGTTCGGTATATAAACGGACAGAGTCTGAACAATGTAAGCTTGTTTGCTAAGAGATCGTGAACAAGCTCGTTTGTGTTCGTTTAATAATGTTTGCGAACAAACTCGTTTAGAATTCGTTTAATAATGTTCGTGAACAAGCTCCTTTGTGTTCGTTTAATATTTGTTCGTATTCTCCTTGTAGTTGTGTTACATGTTAGGTTATTTTTCGTGAACATATATTATTTCTTATCCACGAACGAATTATGATCATGAACATGTTCATATGTTTAGTTATTAAGCATTCACGGACGTGTTTATGAACGTGAACAAACAAGTTCGCGAATGTGTTCGTTAATGTTAACGAACACGTTCGCGAACGTTAACAAACACTAATGAACGCTTAACAAACGAACACGAACAAGATTTTCAAAAACCTTAACAAACGAACACGAACAACCTCCGTTCGTTTATGTTCGGTTCGTTAACAGCCCTAGTCTCTCC